CCCCCCCCAAAAAAAAAAAAAAAGAGCTTCTTACTGTGGCAATGTTCTTCTTTTTCTACTCAAAAACTTTGTGGGTTATATTTAATTTTCTTTATTTTTGGTCATTTTCAGAGATATATGCGTATTCTAGCAATGATATTAAAGTAGGCAGCAACATTGAAGTCGATGGAGCTCCTTGCAAGGTTATAGGTGACTACTAACCACCCACTTCATATTATCTTTTTTATTTTTCGTATTCCATATGATAGTATAATATTACCATTTTCAGATTATCCATATTTTTCTGACTGATTAGGATGTACTTCTCATAGTACATCATTACATTGTTGCTAATTTTGATTTTTTAACTAGCTTTTTATTGCTTGATTATGCTAAGCATGTAGGAGTATTTTTCACAAGTAAAGGAAAGGGGTTGTGAACCAGCTCTAGTAATTTGTCTAAGTAATTTGTGAAAAATCAGGCTTTAACTAGTTTCAAAGAAGTAAAAGTTCTATGCTTTTTACAATTTCTGGAAGTTACTATTTTAATACGTTCGAAATTTTGTAACCATGTGTAATTGACCACCATATTTTATCCTACCTATCCCCCTGAATAACAGGATTATTAGTTACTACTGAAATTACACAAACTAGAGCAAGACTAGAGGATTCCCGAGTGAAGTGTAAGGTTTCATGATTACATTGAATGACTGAATGGATGGCATGCTAAAAGTTGCTTAGAACATTGTTAGTCCACTCAGACCCTAGAGTATGCTAGCTGTTATAAACTGTTTGTTTTGCTGTTCAGATTTCTATATAGGTTACCAAGACATCTATTTGGGACTGTAATAAACTCAAACATTTGTATCCATGTATAATTGACCGTGATTTTACTTGTAGTCCATAAAGCAGAATTCAAAAACAGTTGATTGTTGAACATGAATATATATGGAATAGTTTGGTATAGAGTACACCTAGAATTTGGTTGATACTTTTACCGTTTGATAATACTTATTATTTGGGTGTATTTAGAGTTTCTTCATGTAAAGCCTGGGAAAGGGGCTGCATTTGTGAGGACCACATTGCGCAATTATGTAACAGGGAACACTGTTGAGAAAACTTTTCGAGCTGGAAGTAAGGTAATATCTTTGGGACCACCTGCTCTTCAATGCTTATTCTCTTACACTGTCCGCGTTATATGCTTGCAGTGGATTTTATTGCTAAGTTCACACCACATGCATGTCATCTATACTAAATAAGAACTTGTTATGTAGCTCGAGCCATTCTTTTTGCATAACTTTGTTGGATAAGTTCCTTATTAATAGGAACAACATCACTAATTGTGTTGTTTGACTTTCACCAGGTAATAGAATATCTGTCGAAGGCAGTGTGAAAGTTCCTTTCCTTCTTGTTTAGAACATAAGATACTTTTCAATCTACTGAAAGACTCTCAGATCTATTACTTTGATAATGAATCTGCAACTTTGACGTCATTTTTTTTTCTCCAACCAAATTGACACTGCCTACATGATTTTAAATTTCAGTTGACATTGAACTATCTCTGCAGATAGAAGAGGCAAATATCTACAAGGAGACAAAGCAATTCACTTACAAAGATGGTGCCCAGTTTGTCTTCATGGATCTGGTTAGTACAGTAACTTTTAATAGAGTGGTCCAATGTGCTAGTTTTGTTCTTGCAGCCTTCACTTGCATGCAGCTTATGCAGGTTACTTTTATAGATCTCCCAAATCCCAATCCATAAAAGTGACCCTCCACTGTCGTTCTCCCTCCCTCCAAAACAAAAGAAAATAAAGAAAAAAACAAGAAAGAAAAAGAACAAGCATAAACCTGGCCACACGTCAATGGGTTTGGTTACTTGAGGGATTATGCCTAACTCTAGCAGCAACTCTCTTTTCCTACTGCTACCCTTTGAAATGCAAGATACTACTTTTATCCCTTGTTAATATTTAGGCCGTATAATATTCTGGAGATTATGTCTTTCATCTGATCCTTTTGGCACATAAAACCTAGACCCAAATTCGAGGAGCTTTTGCACGTATGAGAGTGAGCATCAAGGTTGGGCTAATTTATTTGGTTTTGGTGAAGTTCTAAATATCTGATCTATAGTTGCACCTTACAAGTCGCTTAAGTTGTGGGCTCTGCCCTTTCTTATCCCGATTTAGCTGTGCTAGTCAGACAGGTAAAAGTGGTTTATTCAGATATTTGAGAATAGAAGTAGAGTGTGCATTTCCAAAAATTTGGAGTTTTACATCTCTTGTGTGCTTGGTGTAATCTGAAACAAGAAAACTATGTAAATATTTTTTTTAACTTCGTTGTCTCACTACATGTTTAAAGGGATCTGAAAGTTCTTTTTGCTGTAAATATCGGTACCTTCTTGGTGCATATGAATGAAATACCTATAAAAATACAAAGGAAAAGGTTCAATGTCGCTTACTGATGTCTTAATTGGTCACGTTAATGAGCAAAAATAATGTCTTAATTGGTTACATTACTTGTGTGGATCAAGTTCCCTCCAATGCCCCTTAGTCCATACCAACTTCTAGGAAGGATGAATTAGAATTTGGTTGTCTTTTATTCCCCCTTATATGTACACTATATAAATTATGATAACTTTGGGGCAATTTTTATTGCAGACCAGTTATGAAGAATATCGTCTAAATGAAAAAGATGTTGGAGATAAAGCAAAGTTTCTAAAAGAGGGCATGGACTGCAGTTTGCTTTTCTGGAATGGAAAGGTATTTTCCAATGAACTTATTTTCAGTGTTTGCAGTTCTGATTTTCTCCTTTGAAAGTGTCAATCGAGAATATCTGATTAACCCTATAGCTTGTCTTGTCGAAGCTAGTACTTTCGTATCTTTTTTGTAACGGTAGTCAATATACTAAGGTTAATATTTCCATAGGTGATCGACTTTGAATTGCCTATAACAGTGAAGTTGACAGTGGTGGATGTTGATCCAGGTCTCAAAGGTGACACTGCACAAGGTAATCATTTCTTCTTTTCTAGCTTGAGCTTAAATGGAGAAACATGGTCAGTGAGGATTCATATAGCCGACCTGAACTTGTCTGGGACTGCAGCGCAGTTATAGCTTGAACAATTGAACTGGGAGACTAATGTATACGAGGGGATTTTGGAGGCGTAAACACTTCATGTGTTTGAACTATAACAGAAGAGTATAGTAATAGTGCTCTATAATCTTGTGAAGGTTAATTTTCTTTTTTTGGATATATTCTTAATGTGTCTACCTTGGTCACCCCAAAACATGTCAGCTTTGCCTTTCTTTCCCCCATTGCCTTCAGTTGGGTTGGGATGGGGGAGCCAAGTTTTACTCTGAAGTCCCCTTCTTCATCTTCCTATCATGCCCGTCCCTCTTCTGTTTGTAGAAATTATGGATGACATCCCATTTCCTTCTTTCATTATAGTTTATCCAGAATATTTCCAGTAAATAGAAAATGTTGTTGCGAGAAGTATTGTCATATGTAAATATTGAATACTGACTCGCATTCAAGGTCTATGTGGGCAACTGATTCCGATGTGCCTATGATTCAATTGTAATAGGGCTATAGCATTATATTTATCCATGTCTTTTGGTCCATCTTTGTGTCAACCTCTGAAATTCTTGACGGTCTTCTGAATGGCTACTAAAAAAGGGCAGCCTGGTGCACTAACCTCCGTTATGCGCAAGATGTACAAGAGGCTATTTTCACGACTCGAACCCCGTGACCTCTGGTCACTTAGCAACAACTTTACCAGTTACACCAAGGCTCCCCTTCGTTCTTCTGAATGGCTACTATGACACCAAATATATATTTGATGGGCAATTGTCTAGAGTAAATTACTCCTTTCCTTTTTGTTCTTCTGCGAGCTTGTGAATATGATTTATATTATGTGGCAGGTGGATCAAAGCCAGCAACTGTGGACACCGGTGCAGTTGTTAATGTTCCGTTATTCATAGAAAGGGGCGAGGAAATTTTGGTGGATACTAGAAACGGACAATACATGAGTCGTGCAAAGGAAGCTTGAGATAAGTTTTGTAGCAACTGGAAATTTTGGTATCATAATGTATTAAAATCAAGTGTTATCCGGAGTAACATTAGGACCTCACTGCAGATGCCCTTTGACACCTTTTCTTTGCCACCGATTTGAGTAGACAATGAAGTGATATATAAATTATCAAGTAGATAGTCTTTGTTGTATTGAAGAAACAGGTGGTTATTATAGTAAATGTAAAAGTCCTCATTCATTATTTGATGTATCCTACACATCTAGGATAAACAGGTTTCAGTAACATGAAAATTGGAATGTTACAACAATAGAATGGCCTCTGGCCCTCTGCCCAAGGATGACATGCACAAATGGAGAAATGATTCAAATTTTTCCTTATATAAAAAAAAAAGAAGGGAAATCTACCGTGTATAGTTGCCTGCCAAAATAATAGCCGATAAATGTATAACTTTGTATATTAATGTATAATATACATGAAGAACTGAAGGAGAGTCTTGGCGTAACTGATAAAGTTGATGCCATGTGACTAGGAGGTCATGGGTTCGAGCGTGGAAACAAGAGCTTGGTGCACTGGGCTTTAATGTATAATATATATATATATATATATATATATATATATATATATATATATTATACATAATTTATGTACATTTTAATATATTTGGCTAGTAGATGTAACTATGTTAGCCGATTGGCCAATTGTGTTAAAAGCCCTAAAGAAACATAGTTAGGTATATTCCTCCACAATTGGTTTTTTTGGTAGTACTTCTGGAAAGCACTATATCATAAGTCAATGAAGTGTTTGTTAATCAGGTTATTAAATGTTGGTGAATTACAAGTAATTACAGTTGAAAATATGATGAAGAAAAATAAACAAATATTCTTCAGGCTGAGGTGCGGATATCTTGCTCTCTTTAAGGATATTCAAACCCACTGCGGTAGCATCTTCACCGGTCCAGCAGTAATACTCTTGACTTGTCGTAGAAATGGCGTGCGGTAGCCACTTTTTAAAGTGGTATTTACTTTTTATCCAACATTTTTAATGCTGAGCAAAAATAGCCACTACTCTATTAAAATTAATATTAAAAGACGAAGTTACCCTTTCTTCTATCTCTTTTCCATCGCAAACCCTCTATCAAAATTTCAAAACCCTTTCTCCTGATCAAAATTTCCCAAATTCGTTACTTCTCTTCCCCATGCAGTAAGTTCTTCCCCAATTTCATCTCACTTCCTAAACCCAAAGGCAAACCACTTCCTTCTTGCAGACCACTTCTCCAACTTTATTTTTTTTTCTTTTTCTTTTGGTTGGTTAGGTTCTTGTTGTCTTTTAGGCTTTGGGTTTTAATCTGATAGTTATTATCTGTTATATGTCGTGGTTTTGACTATACTGTTTCCATTTAGTTTATGGGACCCTTTACCATTTTATGGAATTGAATTTTGATAATTGTGTTAAGGACATGTAGTCCTGAAGTCCTAAAGTTAAATTCAAAAGTTAAGGACATGGTCCTGAACTTAGAGTTTCAAGTTCAAAAGTTAAGGAAATGTAGTCCTGAAGTCCTAAAGTTAAGTTCAATAGTTAAGGACACAAGTTCTAAAGTTAAGGACATGCAGTCATTAACTTATAGTTACAAGTTCAAAAGTTAAGGACAGGTAGTCCTTAACTAACAGTTACAAGTTCAAAAGTTAAGGACAATAGGTCCTTAACTTTGATTTCCAAGTTCAAAAGTTAAGGACAGACAGTCCTTAACTTACAGTTACACGTTCAAAAGTTAAGGACAAGCAGTCCTTAACTTACAGTTACAAGTTCAAAAGTTAAGGACAATAGGTCCTTAACTTTGACTTGCAAGTTCAAAAGTTAAGGACGCTTGGTCCTGAAGTTTGAGTTCCAAGTTCAAAAGTTAAGGACATGTAGCCCTGAAGTCCTGAACTTAGAGTTACAAGTTCAAAAGTTAAGGACATGTAGTCCTGAAGTCCTGAGCTTAGAGTTCCAAGTTCAAAAGTTAAGGACATGTAGTCCTGAAGTCCTGAAGTTAAGTACAAAAGTTAAGGACATGAGCAGAAGAATATTTTCGTCAGGGCAGTTAAAGTTTATTAAAGCAGTGGCTAAAGAGTAAAGACATTTTAAACAATGGCTTAAAAGTAAATACATGTGTTATTAGTGGCTAACCGTGCACTTCCCCCCGACTTGTCCCCTCCAGGATACAACAGCCCGACAACGTCGTATGACTCGAACAAACTCTGGACAAGTTGTTGAGTCCAAAGCTCCACCAAAATGAACACCTTCCTTCAACAAAAATAATATTCTCTTTTGTAGAGAATAAGTTGGAGACTTGAATTTTCTCCTTCTCTTATCTCTCTTTTTCACTACACCAAGTTCACTTTTTCCATATACACTACCATATTTTTCCATCTACAACACAAGGAAGAAACACTACTATTTATAGGTGTAGAATTTCTTCTATGGAATAAATATCAAAGTAGTGGGATAATAAAATTTTAGAACATGGGTTGGTGGTTACAAAATATAAGTTTTAGTGGGTAATAAGTGGTAGATCATGGCATTAGTGGTTTCAAAAGTTACACCAAAATAATACACTTTAATATTCTAATTTTAATATTAAAATGCACTAACACCAACATTCCCCCACTCATTTTAATATTAAAATAAGAGAGTTTACCAGTTGAAGGGAGACTATTATGCATAATGAAGTGCTCTGCATTGAACCTCCACTTAGTAAAACAACGATCTCTACTCCAGAGTCAATAGTGGTCTCAGACTTAAACTATGACTGCTTTAAGAAAATAAAGTATCACTGCTTACACAAAATAATCAAGGTGTTGACATGAGCTTTATTAGCCGCACATTACGGCCTTGTGCTATCCCGATTTTCATGAGTGTTTTTGAGAATAAGCCCAATTCTCATAGGAAGCGGCCTACTTCCGCACTCACATAGCTGAAATCTGTCAAGGGTGCTCATGTAAATCTAACACCCCACCCATACGAGCTACAGATTTTCATTAAGAGTTAATAAAACTCAACCTCACAAATCATTATAGGATAAATGCACTCACACCATAGGGATTAAACAATAAAAAAAATAGTGCATTTCAAACCAAGTCATCATATAATTCGTTCTTCCCATTGAACCTGGTTATATGATCTCTAGTCCCCAGGTTGGGTTTCCTCATATATGACTTATGAGTTTATGGGCTTCAATCTCATCCCCCTCGATGTACTCCTGGCCATTTCTCTTGCCAAAGGCCTTAGTCAGTGGATCTGCAAGATTATCACAAGATTTAACATAATCAACATTAATGGTACCACTTGTCAAATATAATCTCATAGTACTATATTTTCTCCTTATAGGTCTGAATTTACCATCGTAATAACGGTTTTGTACTCTACCAATAGCAGCGGTGCTATCACAATGAATTAAAATAGGAAGAATTGGTTTTTCAAAATAAGGAATTTGAAATAATAAATTTCTCAACCAATTCACTTCCTCACTAGCTGAAGCTAAAGCAATTAGCTCAGCCTCCATGGTAGAGTTAGTAATTATTGTTCGCTTTTTTGATTTCCAACAAATAGCACCACCTCCCAAAGTAAAAATATAACCTGTAGTAGAACAGGAATCACCAGATAAAGTGTTCCAATCTGCACTAGAAAAACCTTCGAGTGCAGCAAGATATTTTTTATAAAATAAGCCATAGGTTTTTGCACCAAGTAAATACCTCATAACTCTCGTTATGGCATGCCAGTGTTTATTATCTGACTTGCTTGTAAACCTGCTAAGTACTTATAATGCGTATGCAATCTCAAATCAAGTGTAATCAGTCACATATTCTCAAGCTTCCAATTAAGCTAGCATATTCCTTTTGATTTATCACATCATTGTCACTTTGTACAGGAAATAAGTGAATACTTGAATCAAAAGGGGTTACAACATGCTTGCAATTAATAAAATTATATTTTTCCAAAATTTTCTCAACATAATATGACTGGTCAAGGAAAATTCCATCACATGTTCTAGCAAGAACGAAATTTGACTCATCCAAATCTTTCATGTCAAAATGGCTACTAAGCATGCTTTTAGTTTCTCCAATCGCATTCATGTGAGCCAAATATTAGCAAATCATCAACATAGAGGCAAACATTACATGTGAATTATTCCAAGACTTATGATAGATGCATATCACACTCTTTGATTTAATCAACTTTCACTCATGCATGAATGTTCAAATTTTTCATGCAAGAATTTTTTATTATTATCTACCCCACTATTTCTAGAATTATGAAAATTTAAAATTATAAATAATATAATCACATACTCATAAAAATATAAGGTAAATTTTTTTTATCTTTGCTCCGTTTGAATTAACCATATAATTTTTTTTTTTTACCTTTCAATCTCATAAAGAGAGTGATCTTTTATCTTGATATCCGCTATTTTTTCAACTGCATAAAAAAAATTTGAATTCTCCTTAAAATTGTTGGTGAAATTACAAGTAATTACTGCAAAATAAAATAAAGAAAAATAAATAAATATTCTTCAGGCTGAGGCGCGGATATCTTGCTCTCTTTAAGGAGATTCAAGCCCACTGCGGTAGCATCTTCACTGGTCCAGCAGTAATACTCTTGACTTGTCCCCTCCATGATACAACAACCCGACAACGTCGTATAACTCGAACAAACTCTGGACAAATTGTTGAGTCCAAAGCTCCACCAAAATGAACATCTTTCTTCAACAAAAATAATATTCTCTTTTGTAGAGAATAAGTTGGAGACGTAGATTATCTCCTTCTCTTAACTTTCTTTTTCACTACACCAAGTTCACTTTTTTCATATACACTACCATATTTTTCCATCTACAACATAAGGAAGAAACACTACTATTTATAGGTGTAGAATTTCTTCTATGGAATAAATATCAAAGTAGTGGGATAATAAATTGTAGAACATTGGTTGGTGGTTACAAAATATAAGTTTTAGTGGGTAATAAGTGGTAGATCACGGCATTAGTGGTTTCAAGAGTTACACCAAAATAATGACCACTTTATTGCCAATTTATAACCACTATCTCATCAGAAATAATGCACTTTAATATTCTAATTTTAATATTAAAATGCACTAACACCAATATTAAATCACCTTGCATAATTTTACACTTAATTAAATAAGTCTCTTTAATTTTTTACTAAGCACTTATGGTGCCTGATTAACCGTAATAAAAAGAGAAGAAGAAACAAGTCTCTTTATCATTTTTAGTGAACTAGTCTTAGGATAAGCGTGTTGCGCGTGTCACTCGTATTAATGAGAACAAACTTTTTGAAAAAACATAAATATAATTAAAAGATGTGTTTACATACATTATAAATAAGAAAAAATTACAAGTTTCAAATGATAATTGTACGTTGAGAATAAATAAATAATTAAAATAATAATTGTGTTACTCATATTTAGAGATTTGATTCACCACAATGGTTCTTCCTTCAGTTTGTTTCGTTATAAAAAAAATTGGGTCTGACTACAAAATTTTCATTATTACAAAATTTACAAAATATGGTTTACCAAAAATTAAAAATTTTTTACTCATATTTTACTCATTTTATGGAAGAAAAAACGTGTTCGAATTTTCACATTTTATTAACTAAAAAATACTTCTAAACTTAAAAAGAGTACAAAGTATTTGAAACTTTCCTAATATTAATTTGCAAAGAATTAATTTGAACTTACCTAATGCGAATTTGCAATGTCTTCTTTACGCTTGTTTAGTTATGAAATATCCCCTTTTTAATCCACCTTTTTTTTTTTTTGTGTCTTTGCATTTTATTTTTGTTTTGTTTTTCCTCTTTCTAATTTTCTATTTGGTGAAGAAAAACCTATTGAACTGGAGAAATAAATGAATTTCCGTTTACTTCAGATTTCAATTCCACACTCAATGAGAAAATACATGTCTTACCTGACTTGAAAGTTCTAAAAGTATAATAAAATGTAAAAAGTGTATTAGAAATACAACACGAAACACACTATTCCTAACTAAACGTAGCACTTAGATACATTAGGAAACTTTAGAGTACTAATTTGCGTAAAATATATTAATAGTTAATCAAATGTTATAAATTGTATCGAAAGATACTTATGAAAGCTTTTACGTAAGGTTGAGTTATGTATTTGAGAGATATTTTACGTAAGGTGGAGTTACGTAAGGAAAGAATTTTTATAAGGTAAAATTTTAATAACGTTAAAAGCCTAAATATGAGGACTTTAGTTCAAATAAGGAAATATTTGATAACCAAAGTTTTAGTTGATTTTAAAGTCTTTAATATTAGGACAATAATTAAATTATAATTTTATTCAATATAAAATCTAATTTCAAAAGGTAAAAAAGGCGAACAACATTTCGATAGGGGCTTCGTGCTTTTAATATAGTAACAAGAAGTTCTCTGTTAATAAAACGAGTAATTTATATAATTCCTTTGATAGTTTGTACTTGGTACTAGTGGAAAAAAAAAAAGAGAAACAAAAGAAAAACCCTTCTTCAAAATCACCAGTTTGCCACTGCTCGAAGCTCTTCGGCAGACCGCGACTTCAACTGACCAATCTCCACCTCCACGTCGGCTCTCTCCGTGTCTCCGTCGCCGTCGCCGGAAAAGGTCTTCTTCTTACTCTTTTTTTTAGTTAGCAATTGTTAAGAATATTTCAGTTTCGTAGCTTCCTGGTTTCATGGCACGAATATCAAAATAGGATATCTCAGTTTCTCCCCTTTCTGTTTTTTGACTTAAGGTTGATGAAGTATCTCACTTTATTCCCTTTCCTTCCTTCAGTCGAGTTTAAGGATCGTTTGATTTTGTACTAAAATGAGCTGTTGTGTATCAGTGTAGTCCATTTGCTTATCAATGTAAGTATGAGAAGTGGGTTGAGACCTTATTTTGGGCCGCTACTACACTTATTCAATCTATATTCCTTGTTTCCCATATTTCTTTTTTTCCCCTTTCTGCTGATATTTTTTCCGGACTTCTGTGAAATTTGAAACTGAGGTCTTAGGACAGCTTTTGATCCTTGTGGATAAGCTTAATAGAGTTTTGGGACAACTTTTGATCCATTGCACAATAAAGTATATACAATGTAATTTAAGGTCAAAGGCGGTACTTTAAGGAAACAATTAAAAAAGATTGCTATTGGCTGCATGTTGTTCTATTAGAGCCTCTTTCAGCTGATCTAAATACTTTAACGACTAAGAACATGATGTTGGCCGTGGAAAGTGAGTTTCTTTGTACTGAATATGTATTGATTTTTTGGATGTGGTAAAGTAGGACAACTTACATACTTTAGACCATCTGAATGGATGTTCTATTGAATTTTACCAAAGATGACAACAACTTCTTTGTGTTTAGGCCTGTAACAGTTTGTTCCCTATAGATTTTAAAACCAAAAGCTCGTCAAGGATAATTATACTGCCAGTGTTTACATTTCTGCAATGTGCTCTGATAATTTTTCATCAATTTGTGGATATGTTTTGAAAATGAGTACTTTTTGCTCGATCTTGTTATCGTGGCATGATCACTTTTGGTTAATATCTCAGTAGAATTGCAAACTCACTGTGTTTATATTAGGGGTGGCAAAATGGTTAAAAGAAAACAGTTAACCGCCCATATTATCCACTAAAAAATGAGTTGCATAATGAAATTTTTAAAAAGGGGTCAAATATGAATAAGAAGCATATTATCCATTTAGAAAATGGATAAACAATGGGTAACCAATGGGTCTAACTTTTACATTTGTAAATCCTTAAATTGGGGGTCCTCAAGTTATGGAGACTAAGAATTCTCCCAAAAGTGATTATATGCAAGAAGTCATGGATAATATGGTTACCGGTTAACCCGTTTTTTATCCGTATTAAATATGGATCGGATAATTTATCCGTTTTTCATCACACGTTTCGACCCGAACCATATCCGATCCGACCCGCCCATTTGCCGCTCCTAGTTTATATCATGGATTCTCTCTTTTTTGTGAGTGCCTTTGATCTGTTTATGGGTAAGTTGATAAGGTTATCCTTCAAGAGTTCACAAAAAATCCTCAAGTGAAGGTGTTAAGATCTTGCTATGCTAACTGGTTGTGGCTTTGATGCTTCATGCCTCCAATAGGAAACACATTTTCTTTGAATCTGAAGTAAGCATTTCTCAGTTTAGCTGATTGCTTGGTTCTATGGCAGATGAAGTACATGAAGCCATACAACTTATTTCAAGAATTGCTCAAGTCAAATACACTTGCAAGTAGTCGTTTTCTTGGGTTGGATGTGGGCGATAAGTACGTTGGTCTAGCTGTTTCGGATTCAACCAATAAAGTTGCATCACCTCTCGCGTAATGTAGCTTCTCTGAAACTTCTAAAATTCTGGTCGTGTCATGCTCAGTTTTATGACATCATTGTGTTAGAAAAAAATGACATTAATGTTGGGTACATGCAGTGTTCTCGTTCGCAAGAAAACAAATATCGACTTGATGGCCAAAGATTTCCAGAGTCTGGTAAGGTTAACCATCAAGATTATACTTTACATGTCATAAGTTAAATTTGCTTTTGATTTGCCTAAAAATGGATTGTTAAATGATGGCTTAATAATAATGAGAGACTTGCAACGAAATCCCCAGCTGTATACGAATATAAAGAATAATACACGTTGTGCCATGTAGACTGATGTGACTATATTGTTACTTAATAGGTCCCTCAGATTCTTTTGTAAACTTATCAAATTATTATATAGTTAACTTACGATTTGTAGCAATTTGGTTCTTTAAGTGGTTAAAGAGTTTTGTTGCTTGCCTTCTGCCACTTTTAACCTAATTCAAAGACCCAAATCGATTAGTCAATCAACACGCGTAGTTACATATAAAAGATTTTATTTTCTTAATAATTGTTTTGCAGAAGTCCATATGTTATGAACCCAACTCTCTTCCATTCAGTTTCTCTCTTTTCTCAACCTTTGACCATCACGGTACTACAAAGAAATCTAAACTCTGTGAGTTCTAAGTTACTTGGATGTACATTGTACATTCATCATGTTTGGATGACAATAAAACTTGCTTTCAATAATAATAGCGAATAATGTACTACTGCAAAATGCAAAATTTCATCCTCCCTTCTCCCTTCAAATAACTCTTATTTTTCCCTTTTTGTCTGCAGGTTTCTGAACTTTCCTTGGGGGCCTTTGTTTTCGGCTATCCGTTTGATAGACAGAAAATGAGTCGAGATGTATGTTTGTTTTCACTTTGATAATGATTTGGTCTGCTCTATTAGCACGGTTTGAAATCAACATTTTTTCTTTCTTTATCAGGCTGTGCAAGTTAAGTTTCTCATTGACGACCTTTGTCGGACGGGGGAACTTAGAGGTGTAAAGTACACATTTTGGGATGAATGTTTCACATCTAAGGTATATGATCTTAACTTTTTAACTTTGTAAAAACAGAGCGGATTAGTCATGTCTTATTATCAAGATAGTATCGCACAAGTCTTCTTTTTGAAAGGTTGCGACTAGTTTACGTTTAACTCTTCCACCAAAATAATGTTAGTTGATGGACTTATGGACGATAACTGAACTTAAATCTTCGTTTGTTATTTTAATGTTAACTTATAGTTGCATGTAAAAGAAGGATTTAGGCCTACCACAGTATGACTCTTTAAATAACTATAAGCAAGCTTTTGCTCTCAAATGCGAAATGGCCAACAATTATCTGTACTGTTTTGCTTTCAGAATGTTGAGCTGTTACTACAACCTTTAAAGTTGCACCCAGCACAGACGAAGACAATGTTAGACAAATTTGCAGCAGTCGGAATACTTCAGGTAATAAAAGATCTTACCCCATCTGTATTGTTGAGTTAGAATCATAGTTTACTTCACTGAAGAAGTATGTTTCCGTTTCAACACTTAGACAAGTTCATAGTTTACTTCACTGAAGAAGTATGTTTCCTTTGCAACACTTAGACAAGTTCCTTCTTACTCGGATAACTTCTGGCTGAAATTGTCGAATTTTTTTTTGCCTCATTAGAGAAAAATTAGTATTGTTTGTACAAAAATAAATTTATCTTGTAATTCATAGCTGTAATAGTCTCCGCTTATTTTCAACTAAGATTAGATTTTTTTTTTTCATATTTATTTAAGTAACTAGAGTAATTGAGGCAGATCTTTGTCCATAATTGTTTAGCTCCTTTTGTTTTTTGTGTTTTTTCTTTGGGGCCGTCAAATTGTTACGCTAGCATTTACATCTAATAAAGAGTTCATTAGTTCAAACCTATGTTGGTCGGACTCTCCGAAAATGTCGCCGGGTGCGTGTCGGATACTCCAAAAGTAGTGTATTTTTGGAGAATCCGACACGGGTGCGGCAACATCTTGGAGAGTCTGCGCAACATAGGTTCAAACTAGAGTTGCAATATATTTTTCACGATTCGATAAAGTCTTAGTGTCCCTTTTCAGTTAGATTCATTTCAGGATTAGCTTTGCCCCTTCTCTGGGAAAAAAAGAGCATAATTTGGTGTTAGTGAAGACTTTGCATGTTGTAATACAACAATTGTGATGGTTTGTGGCAGGGGTACTTGGACTTTGTTAACAGGAAACATGCCTCGACGCCCGACAAAAACTCTTCTGAGGATGGTTCCTAATACAACCTACATCTGATTACATTAATTCCTTCAAAAGATGGATATGTAACATTGTACTTATACTAACATTGAAATAATGAGTTGTAGGGGTTGTAGGTTATTGTATTTTGTTAAATATTTATCCTATGTATAAGTTGTAACACTGTATTCAAGAGCAAGACTGTAATTGTATGGACCACAACGTGTGGTTCTTTGTTGAGAGAATCTCTTGACATCTTAACCACATTTAAGGTTGTTAGTAATTAAGTAATAACTCATGTAAAACTTTAATTAGATTAGAAAATTACTTTTGTTGATGTACAGATGAGCACCAAATTCACTAGCATTAACTTATAAATGTTTTTCAACATTGAAAATTTTTGACAATATTTGCTACACGCTATCTAGTATCTATTGGTAGTTTATAATGGAACTGAGTTAGTTCTGAATTATCTTCGTTATAAGTAAACTTTCATTGAAGTGAAATACTGAATCATCCTTGTATTCTAGACTAGAGAAAGCACATCTTTAAAACTCTGATGTGCTGTGGATAACATGTATATAGACGTGAAGAAACGTTATGTTTCTAATTCTTTAGTATATTACAAAAAATCGTATAAAATACCCAATACATTTTTACTACTAATATCACACGTTTGACATGGTACTCATGAAATATTGATGAACCATAGGATAAGGAGTTGTTAAAATGGTCTTCACTAATATATAAAGTGGTAGATGACAAATTATTTCATTGCCTGGAGGCTGGAGCTGTCAATCGCTTGTATTAATACAGCACAATAGCAATCAATCGGTACAATAAAGCTTTTTGAACGAAAAAAACATTATCTTTTGGAATTCAATCTTGATCAATGGTGTGGCATAGGAGTCTCAATACAAAATTGTTAGTAAGATAATCCCAACTTTTCATCGCGAAGATAATCCGCTGTAGCACTGGCAAAAAAAGAGAAAAAAAAAAAAAGCAAGTTTTGTATTACCTGATGCATCCAGAGCCTGTCTAGCCATTGACTACCATAATATAAACTTTTGTGCAATCTCTTCATCAAAATTGAGTGTAACTGGAAAAAAAAGAAAAAATTAAAACTCCTATTTAGAAATGCCACATTTATTTGTTTTACTCCTTCATCAGCCTTAATGGTTTACCAAGCAGACAAGCAGTCATGGTGCTTGATCTAAATAACCTTAAAGTGGAGCTCTATAATATAGTTTATCTTGCGGACAGAATGTTTAATTTTAAATATTTTTTAGTTGATTGTATTAGTGTAATTACTTCCAGCATAAATCATCAAGCCTTTGGTTAAACATAAAAAATAAAAAATAAAAATCGCCACATAAGGAGCCGAGGATCTTTCAGAAACAGCGTCTCTACCTTCATAAGGTAAGGGTAATGTCTGCGTACACTAGGGGGGTCAATGGTTGCTCGGCTATTTTATAAAATTTGTACCACACCAATTTATAGGTTATTCTATTATGTATAACCAAAATCAGACTTTTCGAAACCGTCCCAATCATGTCGGTTTCTCTTCGATATAGGTACGGTTCGGTTAATTTTGGTATTTTATTAAAAGTTATGTAAAACTCACTAGTAGAAGTAGAATGTAATAACAGACGTACTTTTATAGGACTTAATAAAATTCTCTAGACTTTTTTACTGTTCAAAGGGTAATGAATTAAGAAAACGTGAAAGATGGCTAGAGTTAGATCTATCAAACTATTCTACAGTAGCATAAAAGAAACTAAGCAAAAACAGAAAAAATATAATCACACGAGTGAAAAGATATTAACCAAGCTGAGACTCAAGAATAAAGTCTATGGAAGATTAAATATTCAAAAAACAGATCATGTATACATTGCAGTTTAAAAATTTATGTATTCATGTATACATTGTAGTTTCACTGGAAGATCAAATATTCAAAAAAAAAAAAAAAAGCTAAATCATACTAAAGGAAACATGTTCAATATATTATAGTTTGCTACTCATAATCACTAAAATACCTTGTGTCTTGCTAGTGAATATACTGAAAATAATTTAGTTTCAATTTGGAATTAGGATTTTGATTTTTAATTACTTGTCGGCTTATAACTGTTTTCATGATTCCAAGGCCCAAGGAAAAATTTAACACTTTATTGTTTTTAAACTTAATATATAAATATATTTTTCATATGTACATTTAATCTGTACGGTTCGGTAATTTTCGGTTTATCTTCATAAAATTAAAAACCTACCCTACTTATCGGTACGATTATAGATTTATATAAAAACCTACAGTTTCATTTAAAGAAATCTAAAAATTGACTCGGTACAGTACGATTCGATCGGTTTAGTTAGTTTTTAAATATCCATTGACACCCCTAGCATACACAATCTCTCCCCAAATCCCACTTGTGAAATTTCACCGTTGTTGTAGCACATAGGAAAAAAAATGATCTCCATTAACTATTGCAACGTTTCAATACGGTATCAAATGATATCCCCATTAAGTTATGTGAAAATTGATGTCTTATTTTATGCGAGATAGAATATAAATCAAGAATACATATATCAGAAATATGAGAACTACTATTTAAAAACAAGAATGGCCTTAAAGTGAATAATACCTGCATATCATTTCATTATTAACCATCACATAATTGCTGCATTATTACTCACCAAACAATAACCCCTTCATTATTATTCACCGCATAACATGTAAACCTAATCCCCCGTTAAAGCGGCAAATTATCAGGGCAAAGAAGTCATTTTCCCTCTATAGTGGCATAAATTTTGTTCCTAAAAAATTTCACCCTTCATTAAGCTTATGTCCAAAGTGAAAGACCATTGTGCATACCCCACTACAGAAAATTTCCCCTATCATAATTGGGAGTTTATGTGTAATGTTAGGATGAATATACATAAATAGGACCTCACTGAACAGTGAGTTGCAGTAGAATGACACAAGCACTAAGAACCTCATGCCACCTGAAAAAAAGAGTTGATCGCGACATCAGTTGATGTTACACTGTACCAGCGCAATCATCCTTCAGCGACGGACTATTATCAGACATTTCCGTGGGAGACGTGATTAGGCACCTCTCCTTGATTATCCAAAGGCATATACTGTGCCATGATGGCGCGGATCTCTGAATCCATGTATCTCTGCATATAAATAGGTTTACGGGTTACATACTAGGAAAGAAGAACATAACATGAACTAGAAGTCTAGAACACAGATAAAACTGCACTTAAGGCAATGTCCACGTATTTCTGCATATACTTATTTGATGATTAAAATTCCAGGGGAGGCAAAAAAAAGGAAAAAGGACACTTGATCAACAACTGATGAACATGCCATGGATATGGTTGTTGCAGCGCACAGAGTAAGACCTGAATGAACTTGCAATGACTTTTCCAGTGTGAAATAAATATGTCACAACATTTCTAAGTTGTTTCCTGTGTTGGGCTCCAAAAAAAGTTAATCTTGGTTTTATACTGGTGGAATCTTGTTCCTTAGATTTCTTCTCAGAAACTCTCAAGGTTGACACTTACTCAAAGAGAGCATTATAGGTATATACTTGTACACTCCAGTAAACTGACTCGGATTAGCACTAGATTTCCAACTTTCGACACTGTTGTGTATCCCAAACCCAAAGGTCATAGTTGACCAAAAATGATGAATCAAGAACAAATTAACATGACATACCCGGATCCTATACTTGTACACAGCATATGCTCCAACTCCTGCAGCTGCCAAACCCAAGATGATAACCCAAACAAAGCCCCAGCTAAATTCTGTTTTACCATCCTTGCCTGCATCTTTTTTTACAAAAAGTTAAGAGATCAAACTACGGTCGGATTTTGAAATCACAGAAGCTCAAAGCTGTCGTGAAATTCTGTTATAGATAAAGAAGCTAACTGAGCATCACACCCATCATATTATAAAACATTTAACTAGCTTCATCCGTCGTTAAAAACATATTTCCATCAATATGAGAACTTCAAACTCACTTATACACGTGTCATGTTCGTGCATGTACAACAAATTGCCTTTGCAACTGCAGTCATAACCACCCCATGTGTTCTTGCATTTGCACTCAGGGCACTGACATGCTAGCCTTTCTTTGCATTCATCAATATCTGCAAAAGAGCAAAAAGATAAAAAATAAAAAAAAACTTCGGATCTCATCAAAATATAAGTCTTATTGGTACTCCCTCTGTCCCATTTTACGTAAAATGTTTGACTGGGCATAGAGCTTAAAAAATTAAAGAAGGCTTTTAACATGTAAACCAAATATATGCAAATTATCAAATTATCCTTTTAATTGAGTGGTGGTGAGAGTTCCACATTTCTTTTCATTTTCTCTATCCCAATAAAGAATGAATGTTTATATCACGTGGTCCCAACAAGTCATGTCCTTAAGGGTAAAATGAGAATACTAAACTTCTAACAATTTCAAAAAAGAGAAGGGTGTCATTTTTTTCGGAACAGACGAAAAAGGAAAGCGTGTCACATAAGATGCTACAGAGGAGTACTAAATAAAGAGCAAGACTATTCCTACCTCTACATCTCTATGGGCATATACAGGATAATGTTTTTCTAGGATGGAAAATAAGATGACGGTTCTACAGAGAAAAAGAAAGTGGAAAACTTTTTGTTGCAATCAAAGAGAACGAAGATCTAAATCCTCAAGTAGATGAGAGTTAAGAAGATATTAACAGCTGACAGCCCCGAGTTATTCCACAAATGCTAACAGCAGCAAATTTCAGAAAAAAGAGATATAATGAATAATAGATTCTCTGTACCTTCACAACTATTCACTCCATCTCCTTTGAATCCTGGTGGACATTTACAACCCTTTGTGTGGTCATCCTAACAAGATAAGAAAAAACGTTTAGTTTCCCCGTTCACAGAATGAAATTGAGACACAAGGAAACTCGTCTAAAGAATAACTCATGTAAAACCAGTAAAGTTAGAACCTGTAAGAGCCAAAAAAGAAGGGGGCAATTCAAAGAGGAAAACTTATTTTTCTAGCATCAATTCTCTAATAAATTAAGATACAAGAACATTTCATATTCCAATCCGCTGCTTCAGTAAAACCAGAAGATAGGAAGGGGGTAAGCACCCCTCATAAAAGAAGGGGAATGCCCAAGAGTAAAGTTCAAGAGGTAGGTAATTATGCTTGAATGCATCCTCTTACTATGCAAGCAGAAAATGTCCTGCCGTCCTTGGTTCCTTTCCAACAACCTCCATTATTTATTCCACAGCGTAATGCTCCAGATGCTGTCAAACCAAAAGCGCAAAAGATTAAGCCTCTGAGGACAATG